TATATACATCTTAAAGTAACTAATAACTTAAAAACAAGGGATTCTTAAGATGGTGGAGAAGATTTGTAGCTCAGGTGGATGATTTTGATGGAGTTTTGTTCTCCAAGCTGGATGGTTTGGTCGTGTAATGGGCAGTTGATTGAAAGTCTATATCTTACACTTGTTGGTAGAACATGCTGGCGAAGGCACTCATGGAGGAAATATAGTTGTACTCGAGTGGAACCTTCCAGGTGGAGCCTAATACGCTTCTCGTTGTTCGAAAATGGGAGAATTTTGCCAAAAGGCAGGCTTCCACTCGAAAACAACTATATTTTCTCCATGAGTGTCTTCGCCAGTATGTTCTACCAACAAGTGTATGATATAGACCTCTAATCAACTGCCCATTACACGACCAAACCATCCAGCTTAGAGAACAAAACTCCATCAAAAACAAGGAATTCTTCTTTCTATAAACTGGTCTGAAGATGAGATGACTCTCAAAGACCTTCATGCTTGTAATCATTAATGGAATGAATAAGTGGATCTATGAAAATAGATAGGATAAGTTTTTTTCAGTATGGGGTTGTGCAGATTGGCGAATTTCATTAAAATCACGAACCAGTCAAAGTAAAAAAACCTGAAAACGCCGAACAACTGTTTCATTCTAATATGGGGTTGCTTCACGAGCCTGAAACCAAAAACCGAGTCCAGGACCATGGGTTTATTGAAAGTTTAAATTCTAGACCATTGAGCTAGTATCTAGTGGTGTACATGTCTAACTCCAACCAATCCACGAATTTGAGCGACCATTTTTTATTGAAATGGTTAGGTATCTTCCTCGAATTTTAATTTCATTCCTGTTAGAAGAGATGTGGATGTGTAGTGTCCAGTACTATTTCAGGCCCACAAGGATTATTCTGGCTTCCGGACATACCAATTATTTCATTTTTCTTGAGTCACACTTTAACGCTGTCGGTTATTCCTATAATATTCGTGACTGTTTTTATATGGGCGCACGTGTTTGTGTCACTTACCCTACTGACCACATATCTTCGGCTTACATTTATCTGGCTATAAATATTGAGTCACGCTTTCTTAAATGGAGTCAGCACATTAGCCTTCTATGCTATGCTTTTGTTTCCCACTTCTCATTTCTAATTTCTGTCTAAATAAGTGAGTACCTAAAATAAATTTATCCAACTCAATTCGTATTTGTCTTCTTATTACCACCGTAGCACAAACAGCGTTATCCTAGGTGTGATAAACGAAATCAAGTAGATGGTTTATATTCATGGCGTATTCGTTCGTTCTTCCAAATCGGAATTATATCAACGGCCTACAAGAGATGAAAACTCCTGAAGAGTGCTAAACTAGAGCGAAATGTCTGTTCATTGATTTCAGGTTCTCGATTGTTTCACAACTTAAATCAGTTAGTGATCTCAATATCACAATCAAGTTGGTGAATAACTTATTATTCTTTTGTATTTTGTATTATTGTTTGGTGCTATTGAACAAATAGATAGCAAAATTTTACCAAGCATACTGATCATTTTTAGTTCGTAAAAGAAACAATTAACTGTTTTTACCATCCTGTCAATCATGATCTAATGAGTTTCATCTGATAAGAAATTTATGGTCACAAATCAAATTAATTTTAATGAAATGGTTTCAATGCTTGTAATTTTGTAGCTTTCTTTATTATCACAACGTGTTAAATAAAACAAGAATCCTGTAGTTTATATCACTGATTGTTAGCAGCACAACCATTTAGTTATTGTAAGAAGCCGTGTTAAGTGGATTGTAAGACAATGGAACTGAAACATGGTTGTTCATCACAATAACTTAATTGAACTAAGACATGTAAACCACTAGATCGTGGATTATAGCTGAAGTTTCTGGGTTCCATCGTAGAATCACATACTAGTACGAAAGAGCTTTTCAGTGCTTAAGAAATTTTCAGCGGTTGTCTACATGAAGTTAGTTTATCATGTAAGCTATAAAATGCAAGGAATTCCACGAACTTTATTAAAAACATAAATCAGTTTACACTATATCATCAAGAAACATTCGAGTAAATAGGTGTTTCGTTTAAAACGGACAACTAATATAAATTTATGAGTTTTAAGCTAATGATAAATTAGCACAGTGTCTCATTACAGTCCATTGTTTTTGGATGCTCAAATTCCACACTTTGTCATCAAATTAACCAACCAGAATTATATCTGGAATGATCTATCTGAGGAGTTAAAGTATGGAACAAACGATAGTGATCTTTGAAATCTTTACAAACTACTCAACTTATTCAAAATCGTTGAAGATCTAGTAACAATTCTGCACCAAAGTAGCTTAAGCTCGAACTTATTTCTGATAACTCGATGTAATCAACAGAGAGCCGACAATCTAAGACTTATGTTTACTGAAATTCATAAACAGAGATTTTCGTAACCTTTAAGAAATCCGTACCAACCACCCGAGTCTTAACTAATAGGTACCGTAATATTACTCACCTTGCCCCAATAAAATCACGTAACCTACATTTTTTCTGAGCATAAATATTTTGTAGATTGATTATTTATACCTTCACAGTATTTTCATTGGATTAAATCTCGGGAAAAACAGTGTCTGGTGACGTCATCCTTCAGCTCGTTTCAACTACCAAAACAGATTTTTGTTGGTTTATTTCTTGAAATAATTGGCATTTTAACATGACATACCCAGTTAGGCATGTCGCGTAAGGTTCTGAATTACTGATCTAAATGGATCGACGAATCATGTTCAGGCAGCTTACATTTTTTCTTTAAACATCTCGAAACGATAGTTAATGAATAAACGTTTGGTCACTCATAACATTTTCTAGTTTAATTCTATTGAAACCAGTACCACGAACCAAATCTGATAAATCCTTGACTGTCGTAATACCCACTCTAGTTATTTCAGCTGAAGCGAATTCCCCGTCTCACTTCCTAATGTATCCTACTTATCTAAACAAGACATAATTCACTCAATGGTCCCATAACTCACAAACAATGATCTTGTACTTATAACCTCAGCATGTCTTTTATTCTGGATGGTTACATCTCACGGCCCTAAAGTGGCAAAGATTAGAAGATGGTTTACTTCATATAAAATTTTATCCAAGATGTGGATTCCAGAGGAAAGGGGAATGGATCTAGGTCTAATTATATGTGTGTAGCTTTATAATTACCATGTACACTAATAGATCTAAATGTTGAGGAAGTAAAGTACTAAAACGTCTATACATTACTTACTTACTTACTTACTTACTTACTTACTTACGCCTGTTACTCCTAATGGAGCATAGGCCGCCGACCAGCATTAACCAACCCACTCTGTCATGGGCCTTCTTTTCTAGTTCCATCCAATTCTTGTTCATTTTGCTCATGTCTATCTCCATTCCCCAGAGTAATGTGTTCTTTATTCTTCCTCTTCTCCTCCTCCTTTGGCCTTGAGAATTCCATGTGAGGGCTCGTCTTGTGACGCAGTTGGGTGATTTCCTCAATGTGTGTCCTATCCACTTCCAGTGCTTATATCTGATTTCTTCCTCTACTGGGATCTGGTTTGTTCTCTCCCACAGTAGGTTGTTGCTAATAGTGTCCGGCGAACGGATCTGAAGTATTTTGCGTAGACAACTGTTAACAAACACCAGTATTTTCTGGATGATGGCTTTCGTAGTTCTCCGGGTTTCCGCCCCATACAGTAGAACTATCTTCACATTTGTATTGAAAATTTTAGGTTTGCTGTTGGTTGACAGTTGCTTTGAGTTCCAGATGTTCCTCAGTTGTAAATATACTGCTCATGCTTTGCCGATCCGCGCCTTCACATCTGCATCAGATCCACCCTGTTCATTAAGGCAAATTAATTATCCTATAGTTCTACGTTTCCATAAGCAATCTACCTAATGTTGATTTATAATGAAAATCATCTTCGGAAATCTTTCAAGTATTTTACAATGAAGGAGACTTTGTAAACTAACAAAGATCCACAGAACTAATGAATTCAAAATAATTATTTGTGTATAATCGTTCGCAGATATCTTCCTTATGCAAAGAGCTTACTTCATTGTTAGAAAGTAGTGTATTACTTTTAAATTTTAATTTCAGATATACTTAATTTTAAACAGTAGCTGGTATAATGATATAGAGTCCTTAGGCTAATCAAATTTAACTGACTATGTTGCATTTTGGCGACTGGTCTAGTCTGTTAGACAGTAATGTGAACTATCTACTAATGGTAAGCAGATGAATATAGGTAACACTACATCAGGATTTTGTGCTACATGTCACCCGTTGTCCTGTAATATTTAAAGAATTTATTCATCCATAAGATTTCAAATACTCTTATTAACTCAGTTGTTAGTTTCGTAAGCTTGAAGAAGTTAATCTTTATTTTGGTTAGATCATTCAAGACTATATAGCACCTGCTGGTATATAGAAGATTAATGATGCATTTCAAGGTGCACCAGTAAGAATTCAAGAAAAGCTATTAGAAGTGAATAAGAAATACATTGAGGAAATCACTAAACTGCATCACCAAGTAATCCCTAACTTGGAATCCTGAAATGGAAACAGAAAAGAGGTAGGCTAAAGAGAACATTACGTCGAAAAACAGGAACAGATATGAAAAGGATGAATAACAACTGGAAAAAATGGAAATCATTACCTAAAATAGGTTCGGATGGAGAATGCTGGTCAACAGCCTATGCTCCTTGACGAGAGGTAATAGTTATAAGTAAATAAGTAAGTAAGTAAGTAAGTAAGTAAAGTAAGTTAGTAAGTAAGTAAGTAAGTAAGTAAGTAACCAGTTAAATACTAGTTGGTACATTCGATTTTAATCTTTCCTTATTTTTTTTCAAAATAGAAAACTATTAATTTCAACAAGAATTAAGTAAATTTATCATTTTAATTTTATTCTCACATAACAACTACAATAATATCTATATGGTAACTCATTTTAAAATCAATACTCAATCATGATAGTTTTTTTTGTGTAACGTTTATCTATCATATAGTAACTATATTCAAACTATTGATTCCATCTATCATTTGTTTAAAATCATTATTGAATTGTTTCTCCATATTTTGAATTAGATCATTAACATTTTTCGAATCTATTCAATATTGAATTAAACAATCAAACAAACAAAATTAAATTTACCAATTTTAAATTGAAAAAGATCATGTAAATCATTGGGAGTAATTGAACCAACTTTTTCAGCGGGAATTTCAGTATTTAAATTTAAAACTGGAAAATTATCCTAAAAAAAAATTTAAAAAATAATTATTTTTTTCAATGAAATATATTCCCTTTATTTTATTTTTTTAATTTATTTTTTGACTTATCACTAACTATATTATAAAATTGTAGAAATTCATGTAGATCTTTTGGAAACCAGATTTGATTCATTTGGATTTGATGGAATTTTTTATAGAAATCAATGAAAAACTTTGTTTCTTCGTTTTCTTTTTCTTCTTCTTCTTCTTCTTCTTCGTCATTTTCATCCATATTCGTATTTTCTTTCTGTCTTTTGGTAATTGGTAATTTGTTCAATTCATATATGAAATGTTTCCTAAACATAATTGAGAAGAGATAATTGTTCATTTGTTATTGCTGCCGTTTTGACTTTTAATATAAATTCATAGAAAATTCTTAACAGTGTAAGGTTATAGAGATTGATCTCAATCAAAAACTTAATAATCTCCACAACTCTATACTGATAATTACCATGTGCTCACTAGTGACTGGATTCGTGAAGGAATTCTCAGAGTTCTAGTAAGAAGCTGTGGCCAGTGAAGATCATCCGTGTCGAGTAGAAACAGGCATCTACCTCAATGCAATGGTGGATGTGTCGCTCAATTTCGTGGATTAGTTGAAGTTAAACATCAGCATCGCTGAATGCCAGCCAGCTCAATAGTCTAGTGGTTAAGTGTTCACGCACGAAACCGACAGGTCAACGATTCGAAACTCGCGAAACGGGATTGTGGTTGCGCATTGCTGAGAAGTTCCACAATAAGACGAAACGGTCATCCAATGCTTCTAGGATTTCCGTGGTGATCTAGCTTCAATCAATTGATGATCTCAACTATTACAATTACAATGATAAATTTGTCATGAAAGATGAAAAAACTGTTAACCTGTTTTTTATTATTTGTACAATGTGAGTAAATCAAATAAATTCACTTTAAAAAATCAATATTTCTCTCATTATTTTTGTGTATTGTTTTCTAGTTAGATTATATATATATGTATATACATGATTTGCTTACATCAACATTATTTCAGTAATGATGAACATGATTATAGTTTCCATGAAAAAGATTAGAAAATGTTTTGAATGTTTAATCAATCACTAAGTGATCAATAAATGATATTAATCGATGCGCACTGCTAAGGGGTTCCACAATAGGACGAAATGGCCGTCCAATGCTTCTAAGTTTTCCATAGTGGTCTACCTTTAATTGACTCACGTTCTCAACTATTAGAAAATTACTATAATATTCACAAAACCCCTTCTGATATTAATCTTCATTCAGTTATTATAGCTTAAGTATTTTTCTTATGTACAGATGTTAAAAATTAGTAAACATTATGAATTTGGATAGACAATTAATATCATGTAGTTGTTGACTGGGCCTTAGATAAACAATCAAATCCGGTGAAAGTTTTAAAAATTCATCACTTTTGTCAACCAGAAGTTGTTAAATGAATTGACATATAATGAAGTTAAGAAAACTGTCAAAATTTGTAACAATCTACATCATGAAGTTATTATGGTTAGGAAACCATTAAAAATCAAGACAAACTGAACAGCTATGATGTAGAGTTACAAAATTGACATTTATAAATCTTAATCAAAATTAGAAAATTTACTATTAAATATTGCACAACTGAAGTGACTTCAGCTAAACAACTAAAAAATTTAAAAATCAGCAGACCACTGAGTTACGATCTAGTGATTCGAATTACTGAGTGAGATCTCCGGTATAGTCATGGATGTGCATGAATATCTAGCCTTAAAATAGAACAAAAAGGCTTCCTGTCGCTGCTTGTTTTCAAGCGATTTTATAACTTAAATTGGTTGATATTGTAAACTGTCTTAGGATTAGACAATTTTAGTAAATATGTATGACAATATATTAATAAACCTTGTAAAACTACTTTGAAAAAGTGGGAAAATGATTAAAAGCGAACATGAACTAACTTGAAGCGATAAGTTAACACGACAGGAAGATGTATCCGTTTTAAATCGAAAGGGTTAGGATCCTATGAGCACGTCAGGTTAAATGAGAATATTTCAGATATACAATTTGGTTTTACTAATATATATCTCTTTTAATTTTTAACCTAATATATTCATATACATGTACTATTACGGCTATTTTTACTGTCATTTAGTATCTATCTTTATACGCCCTTTTAGACTATGTGTGGTGCCATAGGTGTGGAATCTTATCACCTGCTTCTACTTTCGGAATACATGAAGGGAAAATACTTTGTCAATACGGGATGCTTTCTTTCTCAGTGAAAAGCCAATCAAGACCTTTCTTGTGTTAAAACGCAGTGGATAACTTTGTTGTCATATCCGGAAGTAAATAATGACTTCTTTATTCATATCACTAGTAAGTTAACATCCGGGACTTTTGGATTTATAGAACCACGCTACTATGCTATGCCACTAAACGATCCCGTGGAGTGGACTCAAGCTAGCCAATGAAAAATCTTTGGCATATTTACAGCTGTGGATATTCTTAAATAAAAAGCAGAAATCAAATAACCGATGAGATTTCCCATTGAGTTTTGATGAGTAAATCAACTTATAATAACCAACCTCAATCAAGGTTTAAAGTTTCGTAGTTTATTTTTCTTACTAAACGTAGCATAACTATGAAGTAAATAGAAGTTCCAACAAATTATGCTTTTGAATCTACATAATTTCAACGCACTGAACAATATTGTCGGAGAAACGGCGAAAATCTTGATACATTAAAGGTAATAAGGTTACTTAAATGATTTGTCTGTCACCTCTCATGACTTTTCAACATTTTAGGTTTCCCAAACCACTAAAACTTACATTTTAAGGTTATTAATGGAATCTCCTCACACAGTGTTGTTTTTCTGATGAACACAACCGTTTGAGTCGTCTCTGAGTATCCAACTTACACAGTCGGTCTGACAGAGGTACTTCTGAAATTCTAAAAAAGAATACTAACTCAGAAGAAATTGCCATGCAATCTAAAAGCGAATCATGCACTCAATTTAGAGTGACTCGCGTTCTAGTTGCTCGTCCCCTTCCGAATGGATCACAGGCTAAGACAATATATCCTTAGCTTATGTAATGTTTTTGACTTTAGTATAATCTTTCGGAAGCTTATTTATTCTACGACCTAACCAAAGCGCACTGGACTTGTGATTTATAAAAATTAGGAACAAGATAAGGAACTTTCTAGTTGGCAGTAAGCAAAATGGTTAAAGTTATCAAAGTACCACTTTAGTCGGACCACGTTAAAGATGAGGTTTAATTTTCGTCATAAGTGCGATTAAACGTAGTTGGTTTTGGGAATTTATCCGAAAGTACGGATCGTATTTTTGGAGTTAATGCAGAAGAGTGTAGAAATTTCGAAATCGACGTTAGGTTGAAGTAATTAATTAAATAGGATGAGCGCTAGTGTTTAGAAAATTTATTGGAACATTGTGCGTCATACATACTACCATTTAGAAGCATTTTAACTACTACAAACGAAGCAACTGTGTTTTATCTTGTTAAACCAATAATATTCAGAGTGTAGCGGTAAATAAATCCCCAAAATAAATAGCACTAAGTTTTCGACATTGGATGCTGACCATATGTTTTAGTGGACTCACCTAGCTGAAGGCGCTCGGTCAGGCATCCGCACCAGATCACGTGTGGTAACGCCGTGCTCAACATCAACCGCAATCGCTAGCCAGATTAGATCAGAGAATTCCGGTATATTGGTCATCGCCAAATATACTCTTCCGATCTCCTCGACTCTGTCTTTTGATTTCTCTTGGTGGGAAGGAAACATATTAGGTGTTACTGGTAGAAGCGTTGTGAAACACTGAATACCTGTGACATCAACATTGGTGAGACCGTCGTGATCTGGTACACCTTATTGCAACTGTGAGTCTGTTCCTTTTTGGGATTTTTATATATCATTGCCTTATTTTTTATTTTTTTTTAAGCATTGTGATTTTTTTTTTTCGTATTTTTTCTTGGATATATATATATATATTTTCCCCTCGTTCATTATCGTACTTCATACTTCATCATGACTGAACAGACACCTAAAGTACTCAAGCTTAAGACTTTGTCCCCACCTTCGTTTCAACTGATGCCTTTCTGGCCCGACAACATCGAAGCCTGGTTTTGCTACGCAGAAGCCGACTTCTCCGAGCACGGCGTGATCGACACACGTGCACAATTCCTCGCAGTAGTCAAGGCACTACCGCGCGAATTCAACAGGTACGTAACACCTAGTATGTTTACTAGTGATGTTTCCGATCCTTACGAAATCTTAAAACGCTCGATTCTTAAACGAGGAGATCTAACCGATCGACAAAGGTTAGATCAACTCTTCAATAACATCGACCTGCAACACGGTTCTGCGACGGACATGTTGCAACGGATGAGAGAGGTTATAGGCCTAAGAACTTTCGACGAAGGTCTATTCAAACAACTCTTCTTGTCAAAACTTCCCCAACAGGTGCAAGCAGTTCTGGTCTCGTTCCAGAACAACGGCTTAGACGAGCTAGCTGCATCTGCCGACCGCATTCTAGAAATTACGAAACCTACTACCGAGGTATTTTCAGTCAAAGAAAAGCCTCACACGACTCAGAATGATATAACCGACTTATGTCACACACTCACGCGTTATCTTAGTCTTCGTACCGACCGTAAGAGATCGCGCACACCACGTAGAAGCATTTCTCGTAAGCGATCTGTCTCTAGACCACGAGAGACAGATAACCCCGACTGGTGCTGGTATCATAACCAGTATGGAAAGCTTTCCAGAAATTGCAGAAAACCCTGCAATTTTCCCAACACGAAACCGACTGATTCGAGAAACAATTCGGGAAACTTCCAGGCCGGCACGCGTTAACGGCAACCGTAGCCGGCGAACAAAGCCGTCTGTTATTCGTCACAGATGTGACAACGAGAGTTCGCTACCTCGTCGACACTGGCGCAGAAGTTAGCGTCCTCCCAGCAAATCCTAACGACCGGCTTCACGAATCGACCCTAAACTTACAGGCGGCAAACGGAAAACCGATCGCTACATATGGCAAAAGGTACGTTTACCTTAACGTGGGTTTACGCAAACCCATTCACTGGATTTTCGTTGTTGCAGATGTTTCTATGCCAATCATTGGTATGGACCTTCTACAACACCACAATCTGATCATCGATACGCGCAAACGGAGGCTAGTAGACGGGAACACTAATTTGTCCGTTTGCGTAACTTCTTTTACTGGTTGTAGAGTATCCCCAG